GTCGTAATTAACGAAACTTTAGATTATTCTAATCCACGAGTTCAGGAGTCAGTTAATGATTTCATGCAAAAATTTCACACAATTGAAAATATAGCCGGAAAGGAGTACGAACTTTCTTGGTTAAAATATTATAAGAAATTCCAAAATCATCCCATTTCGAAGTATTCTTTAAGGGGTTACGATCTGTCTCAGAAGGAAGATTTTATGGATGCACTTAAAAATATTTTCTTAAAATTCACAGGAGCCAAACAATTTAAGAATGACATCATTTTTAATCACAATTACACTGATATTGTCGCCAGTCGCTTTTTATTCTTAGCGAAAGATGTTTCGAATAGAGTAACCGAATTCAATCTATTAAACGATTTATCGAAAATAGCCGAAGAAGCACCATTTTCCGTTGTACTCCATACAGTAATAACACCTATGGTCGAACAAGGAGTCGTTATCAAACAGATAACGATTCAGCTGTTCTGGATCACTTCCCTGTTAATCTTTGGCATTTTTGTGTCTTTAATACCCAATTTGCATTGTGCTCTTATCGTCGCTATCTGTGTCGTGTCCATAACAGTGCAGACGATCGGATTCATGTCTTTATGGGCAGTCAATTTGGATATCGTGTCTCTGATTATCTTGACTCTTTGCATCGGATTTTGTGTCAATTATCCTACTCACATATGCTATTGTTTCATCAATTCATCACAGCCAACGAATGAAGAAAAGTTAAAGGATAGTTTATGTCACGTAGGTTTTCCGTTAATTCAAGGGGCAATATCTACTGGATTAGTATTGTTAATCATCGCTTATTATAATATATTTGTATATACAACTTTCGTTAAAATCGTTTTCGTAATTGTACTGCAAGCTACATTTCACGCATTGTTTGTTATTCCTACAATCATCTCGATAACTTCGTTATTTACAAGAGGATGCCAAAACAGCAGAGAATCCACATTCTGTGGGTGCACGTAGATGTTATTATTTATAAATGTATGAGTAATTAAAAGCCTAAACATATAACGTACAATTTATGTAATTTTCGAGTAAATTCAATTTTTGAAAATGGGCATATCTAAATAGAATTCAATATTTCTTAAAGTTGCTTTTACGATTTACAGTATTCTAGACGTTTAAAAATTATCATTATTTGTTTTGCATGAGAATATTGTACTGGTTTATATGATTTGTAACAGCATCATAGTAGATATTTCATACTGCTTGGAGATAGTAAACTACAACAATTACTTGCACTCCAGAATTTTGATGGAGCAACGGGCTAATAAAGATGAAGCTGTTGATTAAATTATATTTGTTTCTTAGTTCATAAACTAACTATTACATACAATTATAATAGCAATATCTTGTTAATAATAAAAGAATTTCTTTTCCACAATATATATATATATAAAAAGTATAAAAACATTTAAAAATATGTTTGAATTAAATTGAAGAACAAACGGTTGAACAAAGTATAGAATATCTGTAGTGTTAAATGGCGTCTATTAATATGAGTATTGTACTTGTTTAATTAGAGTTCAGTAAAATATTTTCACATTTGTAGTGCTAATTATTTTACTATGACAATGTACATCAGATCAATTATAATTATATTTTCACAATAAATTTTTAAACTACTAAGCTATTCGTGTGTCAAAAGTTTACTTTATTTTGAATATTATACCAGATACACCATAACAGAAAAATATATATATAAAATTTTACACTATTTTAAAATTACAGGCGTATGCCTGTAATTTTAAAATAGTGTGATCCGCAATTTTATGAAATATTGAATAATGAATACAACTTCTGGATCTTCATAATTAGGATATAATTAATATACCAAATTTTATATATAGTATTAACCCCTGAATGTTAACGGCTATTGATGTCGGTGTATGAACGATGATTTTTTGTTTTCATCAGAAATAATGAAAATTACTTTTGTTTCCGATTTCAAAGAATGTTTTATGCGTAGTTCCATCTTATATTTCATCTGTAGCAAAGTCATTTGTTTATATGCTATAACATACAAGCGATTGTACCTATTGATACGTTGTATTAAAAAACTTTATGTTAATTAGAAGTGGTTAAGTCATCTATGATTATTCTAACTAAACACAAGTTAACTCTTAAGTTTTCATTAATTAATATTTAATGTGACAATGGCACAATACCGTGCTGCAATTTTTAATCATATTTTAAATTTAGAATACAAACTCTTCAACACAAATTAGTGATAATTTCTTTTTGAATTAACATTATCAATTAACATCATCATTATTATTATTGCGTTACAGTTCTTCTTTTACTGTCTTGATTTGTCTTATCCTGGCTGCTTTAATACGCCATTGAGCTTATAGCCCGATCTTTCGGCAGTTCGTTTCGCTTTAATAATCTGGTTTATGAAGAAAAACTTTATACTTGCAGACTTCGTATTCTTTTATAATCTTTTCCAATTTGCACAATTTGGCATAATCTGTTATCAATTATTACACATTATCGGTTACAGATTTGACGATATTATCCATCACTACTGTGTGTTGTATTTAGTTCAAATCCAAAACTATTAAGACGAAAAAGATAAAGTAAATACGTATTACACCGATAGGCAATCCGAAGTAAACTTCAAATCTGTGTTTGAGAAAACTCAGAATCTGATGTTTTACTTAAGCTCGAGCCATTATACAAGAAGACAAGTTGCAATTTTCTCTTGCAGTAGAAATTGATTCAGAAAATCTTGCCAACTTCAAATATACAACGGCAACACGAAAGAGCTTTCATATCCACTTGAGTAACAACTGGAGCGCGTTGAGAATATCACGTGGTAATATTACATTCATTAATTCCATTCATTTAATTTCCAAACATTTGTGTTGTTACTTAACTCGAAACCTGGATGAAAATAAACACGTTGCTACTGAAAATATAAAGCAATATTTGGTTTTTCACACTTTTAACCGTGTTTTCATATGTTTATATAATCTTTGTAATTGTAGAAACGATTTTATTAACAAGAATGAAAATAAGAAAATCTATATTTTATTTTGCCTATTTTAGATTCATAGTAACATGCATGTTTTAGGGTTTATGGACACATAAAGTCACACTGTAATTAATACAAATGAAAACATTATTAATAAACATATTGTACATCAATAAAAGTGAGGAATTTTGAAACATATCTGTAAATATGCAAACTGGAGGTATTTGTTGCTAAAATAGGCAATGGAAAACGAAATAGGTATTTTCAGGCACTTCTCTAATATTAGTTTCGATTTTAAAAATCCCTAAAATTAAGTATATTTTAATATAAATATTCTTAATTAGTGTTTTAATAATGAATTCAATAATTTACATATTACAATAAAAATCGTTACATTAATTATTACGTTGACTGGATTTAGTAAGACAATATGAGAAACAATATACACATGCGAGGACATTGCATAAAACTCGAAATGTTTTCATCACAGCGTAAAAGTAGAAAATAAAAAATCATATCTATTGTATTTTTACGTCGAAGGATGCAAAAGTTCGAAGATGGCTTATAATTGCTTATTTGAATAGTTTCAAACACCGATGCACTCTCCCCTTCAAACTAATCCTCTTAATCGACGACACGCCGTTTTTCAGCGCTGGTACAGCTTTTCTGTAAGCCATCTTGTCAAAAACATGTTTTCTGTTATGCTTTTTTTTTACCACGTTTGATAACTGAGAATGGCCTGAGGACGTTTCGATATCTTTCAGTCATCATGTCATTTATATTTTACTTTTTTTTCACATCATTAATTAATGACTCATTTGTTACTAAGTACTTCCTGTACTTAGTAACAAATGAGTCATTACGTAACACGAATAGACTTAGTGTTGTTATGTACAAATTGTTTTTTGTATTTTGGTACATAAAAAATTGTATTTTTTGAGTATTTTTCCACTTATGTTAAATCCAGTTTCTGTGACCAGGTCTTCGTACGTAAACCGAGCATGAAATATATATTTCATAACAACAAAAATCAGTTTCGCCTTAGCTGCAAGTTACTATACAGCCAATACTGCGCACACAATACACAAATTAATAAACATATAATAATAATAATGTAATAGTGTAATAATGGATGTAATAATAACTTTAACGAGTGAAAAATCCTGCAGAAGTAAAAAATATATATTAACCAATCTTAACTTTTACTTCAATCCATATTCAATAGTTTTTGTTATAAACAAATATAATACACTTTTGACGAATGCAGAGAATCGAGGAAGTAATTCTAATTCCTGATAGAATAGTGTTACATTATTCAAATTCTTTTTCATTGACTCCGAAAAAATTTATTTAATAAATAATCAATATGCCGCCATTTTAAATAACACTTTTTACACCAATGTGCATTGTTGTGTTGTATTTTTCAGATTTACACCTTTAAAAAATAATTATTATAAAATTAGTTTTCATTATTTCGATAGAATTATAACTTAGAAAATAAAACAATTTTGTTTCATGCGGATTATGAGCAATTTCCTCACATGTCAGGTCTGCCATTCTACTTGTTTCTGTTTAAGGGTTGTCTGCTGCTATAACATTTATAGCTTTGAAGGAATTTCCAGCGCTAACTTTATTCAGATCACACGCGGAAAGTTCATTTAACTTAATAATCAAAAACTAGAGAATTAAAGAAACACAACAATTCATATAACTGTCTTCACGTGCGTTTAATATTTATAAAAAGGAGAAAATCTAAAGGAAGAAAAAAACCATAACGACAGAGAAAAAAATATAATTTTAGTAAAAATATGTTCGATAATTTTAGATATTTAGGAGGTGAAGATTGAAAACTTTCCCAAGCTTTTGCATTTCGAATGGGTAGATCGACTGTTTGCACAAAAAGTAATGAAACTTGTCAAGCTATTGGCAAATGATTACGTAAAGATTCCAAACAGAAAAGAATTAGCCGATTTTGCTATCGAATTTGAAAAACAGGACAGAACTTTGCTCATTGTATTAATGCAATGAATATAGTGATGTAAAAATTGCTGTGACACATCCAGAGTTTTTAAATAAAAATTTGGATGAAACAAATTTACACTACGCCAATCGGGTTGACACATTATCGATAAAATGGCGACAAGGAGTAAATTCAGAAATAAAATGACTTCACATACGCTTAGCACGCGTCATCATTCGGTAAGCAGGTTTCTCATTGTTGCGTAAACAATAAATATTAACAATACATTTTCGGCGATTGTCGATGCGATTTGTTGGATTAAATAGATATAGAATGCGAATTTGGTTTTAAAAGATGAATATGTCTAGTAAGTTAAACTATATTTTTATTGTATAATTATATTAACTCTTTTATAACGTGTTTGCAATAAAAACAAAAGCATAAAATTAAATAGATATCGAATGCGAATTTGGTTTTAAAAAATGAATATTTCTTGTAAGTTAAACTATATTTTTATTGTATAATTATATTAACTTTTTTATAACGAATTCGCAATAAAAACAAAAACATAAAATTAATAATAATTTTTTACCAAATGTTTCAAAAGTTTTATACCCAAGTTATATGTTGATAAGGAATTTATTCTCTCACTTGAATACGAACGATCCACAAAAATCTAATATAAATTCATCACATTTGCTGTGATTAGATTTTAATCACATTAATAAACAAATGTAATTGTGGTTGTTTTCGAGCTGAAGTAACGCGTTTTCTCTTCTCTGTTTTACGTTCAAAAATTTGTTGGAATATTCCTGAAATTTTATAATTTCGAAAATACATTGAAAATATTTCCAATTAAACAATCATTAAAAAATCGTGCATTTAGCCCGAATTTCCCAATAGAGAAGAGCAGTAAAAGCTAGCTGTTAACAAGCGCCAAGAATACTTTCATACTTAACTTTAAGTTACTAAATACTTTCTAACCAGAAACTGTCATTTATTGTAAACAGCAATTATCAAGAACAT